AGTCGCATTGACRGACRGTCTGTGCAGGGTTCCATARTTCYCACTTTAACAACACAACRGTTCAATGCTAAGGCTTCCCGCCAAAATGGAACTGTAGAGGAGAGTCTACTGAACAAGTCAGTACCTGCCYCATACAAGTACTGCCATCTGTTGAGMAGTTACGAAGGTGGAGGCATTACTTTTCATCCAARTCCTCGTATCTTACTCAWGAAAAAGAGATYAGRAYGGCTGCCATTGTTRATTCAAATGTAACAGTGAGATCTACCAATRGCATGAATGTAGAATAAGGTATCCTAGCCTTTTGCTATGGATCCTGTTCCTCTTGCACACATCTTTGCATCCTGACTCACGCCTTGCTTTGCGTAAGTAGAAAGACACATTTGGCAGCTCCAGCCACATGTTAGCTCCCACTCACACATTCAGTACACACACTTGGTACAATGTTTGTTAGTTTGCCATCAAAAGAGGTTATAGGCTCACAAGAATCCAGCAGCACAGGGAAAGTCCCTTGTGAGAAGTGTGTCTCTTTATTTACTTGGATGAAACCAATTTAAATAAACAGCAAACCACTTTCTGGAGAAGCAGCAGCAATATGCTGCGGAAAAGGATGCAAGAGAGCATGTCACTGAGTCTTACTCAAACCTCAAGTTTCCAAGCCACATTTTAAATTTAAAGGGGAGACAAATGTAAACCTAAAATCGCAATGCATGTACACCCCAAAATGAATTTTTATAGTATTTAAGAGCGTGAACTGCTCACTACCACACCTTGATTTTTGTGTGACTGAGCTATTTTGCTGCATTTAGTCAGAGGAAAGAGTAAGGCACATAGTTGGATAGTCCATGATCCAGTTAATATAATTCATGGGACAGTTACACCATCACACAACATTATGGCACTGTGATTACTTATGGTACTATGATGTTGTGTGTGCATTCTATGGGGACTTGTAGTTCAGGGAGAGGTGTTTTGAATTCTCACGAGAGAAAACCCTAGGATGTTACTACATCACAAACCCTAGGACTCCATAGGATGCAGCCAAAGTAGAATCACAATGCTAGAATTGTACATAATGTGGAAGACTCTCTAATCTTAGTAAACCTTGACTTAAAGTAAGACTAGAACAATGACTCACATTGAGAGATTGCATGCAATCTCACTGGTGACAGCTTATTTTGCGCATGCGTAATTACGTCACTGTTTTCAAAAATGGAAGATTTTCTGTGATAGTATTGGTACTTTAGGCAGTGTTTACAAATAACTAACGAAATTCAGCAGCCCACATGCACCAGTTATTCAGAGTTGGCAACTGGAGAGAATTGCGGTCAAATCTAAATGCTGAGTTTTTTTAAATTTTACTGCAAGATAGTTTCAGTATTTTATGCAAACACTTTCTCTACTTTGCAATATCAGAACTTAACGAAAACGATCACACAAGAAATAATGGCGGAACAACAACAACATTGGATTCATTGAAATATTTTTTTCCTTCAATGAAAAGAGATTATCCTATCATGATTCAAGTGCAATCCAACTATTGGACAGACATGATGCTGTGTGATAATCTCCAGCCAACTGTATTTTATCAGTCTTGTGTGATAACGTCTTAAGCCATCACCATCACCAGCACCATGACATCTATATATCAGTTTCACAGTCTATCATATACAACCATCTGGAGTTTGGGATCATCAGTGAATTGGATTCTTTTATTGGTATTGGGGGTTTGTTTGTTTTGTATTTCGAAACAAAAGTTTAACCCTTGTTGGTGTAGCGGGTTAAACTGCTGAGCTGCTGAACTTGCTGACCAATAGGTTGGTGGTTCAAATCTGGGGAGCGGGGTGAGCTCCCGCTGTTAGGCCCAGCTTCTGCCAACCAACAGTTCAAAAACATGCAAGTATGAGTGGATCAATAGGTACCGCTTCTGCGGTAAGGTAACAACGCTCCATGCAGTCATGCCAGCCACATGACCTAGGAGATGTCTAAGGACAACGCCAGCTCTTTGGCTTAGAAATGGAAATGACATCATGCCCCAGAGTCGGACACAACTAGACTTAATGTCAAGGGAAACGTTTATCTTTCTATAAGCATTTAATGGTGTTGTATTTGTCTGTCTGTTTTAACCATGTTGTACTTCTCAGGCCATAAGGAGATGTAGGTAACAAATAAAATGTATTATTGACACAAAAGCACAGTATGTCACAGCAAACGAGATCTATATGCTGGATTTCGTATCACAAAATCACAAGTCGAACACTTCCCAAGCATCTAGGATTGTGTGATTTATTATTATTATTATTATTATTATTATTATTATTATTATTTATTATTACTAGAAACGTAACAAGGTAAGTACACAGCAAACAAGATCACTATGCTGGCTGTTGTACTGGATCACATGTTGGACACTTCCTAAGTGTCTAGGACTGTGTGATGTATCGGCAAATAATGCGTGCATATCCCAGTAGGGTGGCCTTTTGCAGCTAACAGATGGCAATTTTGTCAGTGTCAATTGTGTTTAAGTGCATGCCAAGGTCTTTAGGCACTGCAACCAATGTGCCGATCACCACTGGGACCACCTTTCCTGGCTTGTGCCAGTCTTTGCATCATCATCATCATCACCATCATCATCATCATCATCATCATCATCGTCATCGTCATCATTATAAAAATTGGAAATGCTGAGGTATTGCTGGGTAATGTAGAACAATATAAGCAAGATTTTGCAATTATGCTGTTGCAATCCTATCTATGGTAACTGCATTCATATATTTCAACTTTCCATTTGGAATTTCTTATTATTATCACTATCACCACCATTATCAACTCCTCGGCCAAAGGGAAGAGACATAGTAAGAACAAAGACATAGTAGAAGAGAAGGAGAGTATGTAGAAGAAGTGCTGGTGTTAACCTATAAAGCCCTAAACGACTCCGGCCCTGTTTACCTCTCCGAACGTATTCTCCCCTACGAACCATCAAGACCACTAAGATCGTCTGGAGGGGCCCTGCTCTCGGTCCCTCCGCCTGCACAAGCACGGCTGGTGGGGACGAGGGACAGGGCCTTCTCGATGGTGGCCCCTCGACTTTGGAACTCCCTGCCATTAGAGATCAGAACTGCCCCCTCCCTCATGACGTTCAGGAAACTAACAAAGACCTGGTTGTGGAACGCGGCATTTGACAACTGATTTAATTCTTTGCCCACATGAAAGGAGGATGATGAATGGGATTGTGATGGTGTTGGACGATTTGGCTCTTTTAACTGTGATGATAATGTTTTAATGTGTATGGTGCTGATATTTTAATCATGTTATGAAGTGGCATTGTATTGTTATTGTATATTCTTTGTATGTTAACACATGTTGTGAACCGGTCCGAATCCCTCTTTGAAGGTGAGAGGGTCAGTATATAAAACCTCGAAATAAATAAATAAATAAATAAATAATAGAAGAGGGATGCCTTTCCATTTCAAGACTTACTCTTTTTTTAAAAGGAGGGGGAAAGAGGAGGAAAGTGATTATTTTTAAGGTGCTAAATGCAATACCTAATTTGAATCTTGTGTAGTATGAACACAGAAGAAAGGAATTTACATCTTGCACTTTAGTTTTAAAACTGTCCCAGTCATTTAAGCTGCATACACTCCATTAATCTCTCTAAAAGAGGAAGGAAGAATCAATTACTGAGAAGAATCTCAGTTTTGCAGAAGTACAAACCAACTATGTATGAGTGCATATCTCTCTCAGTCTCTGTTTTGTCTTCCTTTCTACAAGATGAAACTTCAAAGGTGGCAAATACTCATCCCAAGGGACAGACTTACTCTCAAGAAACAGAAAATACTGAGTGCTGCTTAATAAGGAAGACATAGAAATTGTTAGAGTAGGAGGAGAATGAACTGGCCTCACTCTTACAATTCCAGCAGATAGCATGCTATAGTAAACCAGAGTGTTGATATCTGCTAGGGTTTCACTCCAGGACAGGTTAAATTTCCACTATATACAATAGTCTTGTCAAATAATACCTCTTACTAAAAATGACATAATCAAGGTTACGTTTTGGATGTAAACAAATATTTTTAAGCTATGGATGTTTGAATCTGTGGATACATAATCTATTGATATAGAGGACCAACTCTTGGTAGTAGCCATCTCCATTGTGGGTAAGAAGACACCGCAACATTTAATGCAAGTCCTGCTTCATTGGTCACATTGCTCCTAACATGGATGTTCCTAAAGCAGAGTTTGCCCCAAATGGCATTTCTAAAGAATCCAGTTGAGGTAAACAAAAGAGGCAGTTCAGCATTTTCAATAAATACAGTAGAGTCTTGCTTATCCGACATAACCGGGTCGGCAGAATGTCGGATAAACGAACATGTCGGATAAGATGGAGTCTGTTACCCGTCCGACATGGCACTAGATACCTAGAATACTATCAACAGGGACTCAAAGCGTTAAAGCAAGGCAATGCTTCGGGGATAGAGTGGCCCAGATGTGGAAGAGGAGCATGGAAATCACAGAGGGAAGGAGGGAGGACGCTTCCGCTTCTGGTCCTGCCCCCTTTCCCCCCTCTTCCTCCTCCTCGTCTTGCTTTTTTCACTTATTGGGAATGGAGAGAGTTGGGGAGTGTTCCTTTAATTGAAGGGAAAATGCTGGAGGAAAAGGGGGGGTTGGTTGGAAAAGAGTGTCGGATAAGAGGGAATGTCGGGTAAGTGAAGGTGGGATAAGCAAGACTCTACTGTACAACGCAACATTAGTTATGATGGTCCACAAATCAAAACAAAATCCACAGTTGGATAATACCTCTGTTAGACCCAAGCCAAATGCAATAAAAGCATTTCCTTGGCATGCTTCACCAGACTTGGTTGTGATGGAAATGAAGGAAAGTTTTGTGTGAACTGAAGAGTTTGCACATTTTGGTTGGTAATAGAAAATGCGTAACACAATGGTGGAGTTTGTTTTCAAACTTTACAATGCACTAATGTTTGCCATCTGATTGCTGGTCTTACCGGGTGTCCTCTGGCTCCGACAGGCACTCCACCGTGCTGGGCTTCTGTTCCATTCACCGCAATTCCATCCAGACCCAATAAGGAGAGACCGAGGTGGGCTCCGCCCCCAGAGGCGACACTCCGCGGTCGCCACGACAGATGCGGGTTGGGATTTGGAGGGAGGGGGCTCTTAAACAGAGCTAGGAAGTGAGCCCCATTGTGCCTCTTTCAGTGTTGGCAAACAGCAACCATCCTGGGGTGGAAACACAGGGACGAAACCCTAAAAAGAAGAGAAGTAAGATGATGAGTTTTGTTGTTATTCATGCTTTCATTGTTATCCTTTCCCTCTCTGTAGCAATGCTGATAATTCTTAAGTTTTTGGAACCACATTGTCAGCGTGGTCACTGGTTTCTGGGAGCTGAAGACCAGTGGTTCTCAATCTGTGGATCTCCAGATGTTTTGGCCTTCAACTCCCAGAAATCCTAACAGCTGGTAAACTGGCTGGAATTTCTGGGAGTTGTAGGCCAAAACACCTGGGGATCTACAAGTTGAGAACCACTGCTGAAGACCAAAACAAGTATTTTTCTAACATTTAGACTTCAGAACCTGAAACAGTGGGAAAAGGTCTATATTTCACTGTGTCCTACCACAACCCTAATATACAGTGGACCCTTTGTATTTACTTGGGTTGGGTTCCAGGACCCTTTATGGATACCATATAATGAATCCCATTATATACAGAGTCATAGTAAAATGGTATCTGTTACATAAATTAGTAAAATCAAGGTCTGCTTTTTGAAAATTGCTAAGTAAAAGCCTTTTTTAATGTTGGTGGTGGAACCTATGAATGCATAATAGGTGAAGGCCAATTTTAGTAAATTATATTTGACCTCTGAAGTTGTGAGTTATTCTCTCATCCACACCATTGTTGTTGTTTATTTGTTCAGTCACTTCCAACTCTTTGTGACCTCATGGACCAGCCCATGCCAGAGCTCCCTGTCGGCTGTCACCAGCCCCAGCTCCTTCAGAGTCAAGCCAGTCACTTCAAGGGTACCATCCATCCATCTTGCCCTTGATTGGCCCCTCTTTTTTCCTTCCATTTCCCCCAGCATCATCTACACTATAGTCCCTGGTTTTTGTACAAGACATCTGTCGCAACTCAGGATAGATTCACCTTGCTCAGAACACCACACCACACCAAGGCTGAAGGTTTTGTAGTTTATTAAAGAAAGAGCAAAATCTTTAACATAAAAGTAAGGTTTCAAAAGTTTAAGGGCAAAAGCAGAGTTTTAAATGCGAAGGCAAAGTTTCTAAAGTTCAATGGCAAACAACATGAAGCATAATCCAAACAAGATTCCATGGCAGCATAGCAGAGTCCCAAGGAGTCAAGAGCTAAAAGTATTGCCCCAAAGCCAGGTCAATCCAGAGAAGTTACCAGGGTGTTTGCAGAAGTTGCACTGACAAAGAGTTGACTTCAAACAGCTCGTTTAATATACTTTCCCAGCATGAACGCATTCCTTTGACCTCTGACTTCTCTCTTGTTAGCAAGCCTCGCACTGCGGCGAACCCTGAATTGCAAGCAATTCTCCCTATCTAAATCTGCAGAGCCTTCAAGGTCGGATAGCTCATTACCCTGAGAATCAGCAGCCTGAGAATTGGCAGACTGAGAGCTCGCCTCCTCCACCTGCACCTGGGAAGTTTCACTAAGATCAGAAACATTTTCCAAGACATCCCTTGCCATGGGAAACTGAAACTCCTCGTTTTCAGTATCAACAACAGGAACATGTTCAGGAATCTGAAACCCTTCTTCTTCTTCCTGAGGCTCCACAACAACATCAAACTATACAGAATGGATTGAACAAATTAAGTACATTTTAATATATGCCTGTTTACTTTGCCTAATTGATCCTGCACCTCAAATGCACATAATCGGCCAATGCCTAGAGAGTAATGATGGAATTAAGGAGGAGGGAAACGTTTCGTCACTGCTGTAATATAGGGCAAGGAGTTGCAGTCGCTGGGGAGAAACAAGCAGATGTACATGCCACTGAAGTCTTCCAGACAGTGCCTTTGTCCATGCACAGAATGTCTTCCCCTCAGCAATTCCCAAATGCAATTAGATAAACCATGGAAATGTAATAAAGAATATCAGTCATCTTGATTCAGTTCCATATCCCTTCCTAATGTTGATAAACACATCTAGGTAAGGTCCTACTCATTTCCCTTAAGATACTATAAAATTAATCCTTCCCAAAGAATAAATGCCAAGAATTTGATATTCTGTGTGTATCAAATTCTCGCTATTTGATGCTGTGCACAATACTTCTTTAATGCTAACCTAATCTACATTTATCCATCTGACTATGTAACTAAATAATATCTTACTAAACAATCTGTGCATGGGGACCAGAGGTAGCATACAACATGATTTAACAAGTACAAATTAAAAGACAGTACGACTAAACAAACGATTAGAATAAAAGTGAATTAAAACAGCTGAAAAAACGTATCAGTGGTATCAGTATTACTGCTATTTGTGGAAGTAACAACAACAACAATAATAAAAAGGTACACACCTATCCATTATCTTATCCTGTTGCCGAAAGCCTGCCTGTTGAGAATAAGCATCAAGTAATAGCTAGGCATGCATATTGTAAACAAGATAGTCTTGGCTTCAAATATTACTTCCATTGTAAGCTCACCATAAGCTCTTTGGAAGCCACTTTCTCTCATCCTTATACCACTTTTCCATAATGTTCAGATCTTCATCTGTGCAATGTTTGAGCCCACAAGTCATTTTTGAGCCAAAATACCCCAAAGGAATCAGATACCATCTGATCTTGGAAGACAAGCTGGGTCAGCCCTGCTTAATATTTAGATGGGAGACAGCCAAAAAAATGCTAGGCGCTGTAGGCTATATTTTAGAGGAAGGAACTGGCCAAACCACCTCTGAGTTTTCCTTGTCTAAGAAAACACTTACAGTAGTTGACAGCCAACTTGAAGACGCACACAAACAAACAGTCAAAAGAGGAGGCGGAGGATAGCCGCAAAAGCAATCTAATTTATATGATTGCTAAAATGGATTCCTGGGATCTAGAACTGTGAAGAATGTTTTACAACTAATACGGTCACTTGCACACCCGCCAATATTTCACAACTGAAAACCAGGACACTCAAAGGCAAGTAACATTACAGTGAAGTCAAGGTGGAAAAATTGTATTAATGAGGAGGAATACATGGGTTAGGAGCAGTTACAGCAGTTTGCTTTTGCTTGTAACTCAATAAAGTTACAAGCTGGGTAGATGCGGGGAATGCCGTGGATGTAGCGTACCTGGATTTCAGGAAGGCCTTCAACAAGGTCCCTCATGACCTTCTGGCAAACAAACTAGTCCAATGTGGGCTAGGCAAAACTACGGTGAGGTGGATCTGTAATTGGTTAAATGGACGAATCCAGAGGGTGCTCACCAATGCTTCCTCTTCATCTTGGAAAGAAGTGCCGAGCGGAGTGCCACAGGGTTCTGTCCTGGGCCCGGTCCTGTTCAACATCTTTATTAATGACTTAGATGAAGGGTTAGAAGGCATGATCATCAAGTTTGCAGACGACACCAAATTGGGAAGGATAGCCAATACTCCAGAGGACAGGAGCAGGATTCAAAATGATCTTGACAGCTTAGAGAGATGGGCCAAAACTAACAAAATGAAGTTCAACAGTGACAAATGCAAGATACTCCACTTTGGCAGAAAAAATGAAATGCAAAGATACAGAATGGGGGAGGCCTGGCTCGTGAGCAGTACATGTGAAAAAGATCTTGGAGTCCTCGTGGACAACAAGTTAAACATGAGCCAACAATGTGATGTGGCGGCAAAAAAAGCCAATGGGATTTTGGCCTGCATCAATAGGAGCATAGTCTCTAGATCTAGGGAAGTAATGCTACCCCTCTATTCCGCCTTGGTTAGACCACACCTGGAATATTGTGTCCAATTCTGGGCACCACAATTGAAGAGAGATGTTGACAAGCTGGAATGTGTCCAGAGGAGGGCGACTAAAATGATCAAGGGTCTGGAGAACAAGCCCTATGAGGAGCAGCTTAAAGAGCTGGGCATGTTTAGCCTGAAGAAGAGAAGGCTGAGAGGAGTTATGATGGCCATGTATACATATGTGAGAGGAAGTCACCGGGAGGAGGGAGCAAGCTTGTTTTCTGCTTCCCTGGAGACTAGGATGTGGAACAATGTCTTCAAACTACAAGAAAGGAGATTCCATCTGAACATGAGGAAGAACTTCCTGACTGTGAGAGCCGTTCAGCAGTGGAACTCTCTGCCCCAGAGTGTGGTGGAGGCTCCTTCTTTGGAGGTTTTTAAATAGAGGCTGGATGCAATATTCCTGCTTCTTGGCAGGGGGTTGGACTGGATGGCCCATGAGGTCACTTCCAACTCTATGATTCTATGAGCCTACCGAGAAGAGCAAGATCCATCCTCATCCTCTTCTTTCCTCTCTGCTGAGATAACGGAATGCAAGCTATTTTTGCACTTTGAACTCAGGTTTTTCTTTTGTCTTGTCAGAAGCGACTTGAGAAACTGCAAGTCGCTTCTGGTGTGAGAGAACTGGCCGCCTGCAAAGACGTTGCCCAGGGGGCGCCCGGATGTTTTCGATGTTTTACCATCCTTGTGGGAGGCTTCTCTCATCTCCCTGCATGAGAAGCTGGAGCTGATAGAGGGAGCTCATCCACGCTCTACCTGGATTTGAACCTGCGACCTGTTGGTCTTCAGTCCTGCCGGTACATGGGTTTAACCCACTGCGCCACCAGGGGCTCAGTTTGCAGGTGACTAAGGTAAAATGAGAACAAAAATGGAAGGTGGGAGGAGGAGAGAGAAACTGGGGCTTTTAAAAGCAGCTGAAAAGGCGAGACAATAGTGGAATAATCCAAGCCACCTACCAAATCGAAGTTGTGACAATTTACTGGGGGTGGGGTATAAAAATAGCTCTTTCTTTCCATAATGACTGCTGACGAGTAATTACTCCTTACTAGTAATTACTTCTTGCCTTTCGTTGCTATTTGAGAACAAAATAGAATTTTAGATATGTTTTTTAAAATGCAAACACAAGGGGAAGCCTGTCATGTAATAAGTTAATTGAAAACAAATGTTTGTGTATGTGTCCAACAGCAAACACACATTACTCCAGATGTGTGTGAGGGATTATTCTATCAAAATTTACATTGCCCAATGTCTTTTGCTAAATGATAGTTTTCTTTAACCAGGCAATGATTTGGTCTTTAAACT